AGTTGCCATTTTATCTGTGTTTGCAGTCCTAATTGAATGTTGTAAGATTAAAAAAAGGCAGTGTTTTGCCAATTTATGGTGAGAAAAACACATTTACTTTGCATTTTTCTTGCAGGCTGAAAGTAATAACATGTAATCTGATTCAATAACAAATGACTTATTTAAACCAGTTCTTTTTAGTGAAACAAAAACATACATCACAGCTAGTGTAGTGTGATTCAACAGTTCTTACGAGCTAGCCCTAATGAATCATTCAAACAGAATTCACAAGTTAAATTAGTCTAATGGCTCTTTAAACTCATTGAATCTGTCAGAGCGGTTACTCAACATAAACAAGTAATCATTACCTTTAGTAATAGAATATGTTAAGAAAATACATGACAAATTATACTATCTTTATGAGTGAGTTACTGAGTCAAACATTCAAGTGATTCATTCAAGTGATTCATCAGGAGCAAAAAAGTGACTTGCTACTTCTTTACTTCTTTAGAATAATTAACTACTTAGGGTTAGGGATTTATATATACTGTTATATATATTTAAAGGGTTAGTTCACCCAAAAATGAAAATTCTGTCATTAATTAATTAACTTTAATCTCTCTCTCTCTCTCTCTCTCTCTCTCTCTCTCTCAAAATGGCCATATTTGAGAAAAAAAAATTGAGCTGTATCACTGGATATAGCGGTCTGTCATTTAACATTTAAACAGTGGACTAATATTAAATGATTTGCAGCTTCCATCCTACCTTGCTCTCTTTCAACGTTAAACTGACGCTTTGCGCAGGAATTCGAGGGCTGCTTCTGTGGACAGGAAACCCCGCCAACTTTGATTTGATTGGCCATGTCAATTATTTTGACAGCAGTCGCGCGAATGATTTGCCGAAGCCACGCACATCTGTAGACTAGCGCAAGTTAATTCTCACACTTTAATAGTATTTATAGCTCCTGTGTGAGTATACCTCAAAATGTACGTTGGTATGCAGTTTTTATTGCTCAGTATTAGGCCCTGTCCACACGAATGCGGTTATTTTTAAAACCACAGCTTTTTCTATGCGGTTTGGCCGTTCGTCCACACGCAAACGCAGCACCAGGTCACTGAAACCGAACATTTTTGAAAACGCCTGCCTGGGTGAAGATTTTCAAAAACTCCGGTTGCAGTGTCATTGTGTAGACAGCGAAACCGGAGTTTGTGGCTTGTGACGTCGGAGCCTGCGCTGTTATCTCCACCTACTGGAAACTTTTTCAGGCTTCTGATTGGCCAACATGGCTTTACGGTTGAGATTATATCGCCACCTGTTGGTTTGGCATGCTCTTGACAGTGCTTCATAGCATGCGTTTGCGTTTTCATGTGGACGGAGATTTTTTTTAAAACGGAAGAAGGAAAAACTCCCGTGTACGTGTGGACATGGCCTTAATCTATTGTTTATTAACAATTAACAAACGCACTGTTTTTTCTGAATATCAGCCATGATTATTTATGTGTGCCGTCATTTGAAATATACCATTCTTTTTACAAATGTCTCCAGCAGCAGTTTTGACTGTGAGCGAAGACATTGTGAAGTGTTGTGGTGACAGACATGGGTTTGGTTGCTTCGGCTGACTGTTTGTGTTGGCCTCTCTTGTTCGCAGACAGCTTGTCCACTCTACCCAGACGTTCACAGTTCATTGATAACCTGAGTGACATGGCATGCAGTCTCTTGCTACGTTGAGTCTCAGCGAGGCCCGTGGCATCATGTAGGAGCGAGTCTGAGGGTGGCACTAGAAGTGAGGGGATATTCGCATGTTAGATAAAAAGGGAAAACTCATTATTTAGTGCATGTGATGAAACCAGCTTGACTGCCAAGTGTTCTTGGTCCCTTATAGTTTTATAATTAGGTTTTTGAAAGTGCAAATGTTTAGCACATTAAAAATACATTAACATATTTGCAAGTAGAGAGATTGAATTTATTGTTTCTTTCATAATGTTTCTACAGTACTCTTTAAACTGTGAGCTGCAATGCACAATGGTATAATCAGTGTATTTTGTTGTTGGTTTAACCCTTCACCTTGTGTAAAGTCCTCTCACCCAATTCATATCTACTGTTACAGATGCACCGTGACTTATGGTAACTGCATGTGAGTCTGTACATTTCTGTTCCTGTACTTTGCATTCACACCAGAGTTTATAGATAAGAGCGATTTAAGAACAATAGACCCTGAACTTTAAGGTGAATTTTGTTGTGCTTAAAATATACGTAAAAGCCATGAATTTCATACGTTCATTCTGAGAATGTCATGGCATGGTTTGGATATCAATTTAGATAGAAACTGAGAATATTTTGCCTTGGGCCAGTAAATATCCACCTGGCGAGTACTCAGATCACTTTAGCAAATTTCCTAGAAACCACCAAGTGCTCCTACTGTAGTAATCCTAGTAACCACAACAACCTGGCAACCATGACTAAGAAGTACTAGAAGTGTGGCAGTGAGTTTGGCATGAGCAAGATTATTAGTATTTTATTTTTTTTTAAGAAAAAAATCTCAAAATCTATGGAAATATCATAAATGATTACAAACAAACAAATAAATAAAATAAATAAATACATAAAAATAAATAAAAATTTTAGTCCATGTATGTTAGCTTTGAGGTCATCTACTATATGCTAATTCTATTAAGAAGGTTTTTACCCTTTTTGCATGATATTGATCATTTTGATGACTCATTCTGTGCTACAAAGATTTTTGTTCAATTAAAATTATCAATAATATCATGCAAAAAGGACAAAAACTGCTAAATAGAATTAGCATATATATGATCTCAAAGCTAATATACCTGGACTAAAATTTTTTTTATTTTGATTGTTTTTATTTATTTATTATATATTTATTTATTTTTTTGTAATCATTTCTGATATTTTAAAATATAATATACAATAATAATATATAATAAAATATAATAATTACATTTTTAGTCCAGGGACCTGTTTCATAAAACAAGTTTACCAAATAAGCCAGGCTTATTTCAGTTAGTCTGACTTATTTTGAATTAAATCTGACTCTGATTAGAACCAGATCAGCTGACAATAACAAGTCTAACTGAAATAAACCTGGCTTATTTGGTAAACTTGTTTTATGAAACAGGCTCCAGGTTTATTTCTGTTAGTCTGAATTATTGTCAG